ATGAACATTAAGATGTGAGTGCACTTGACTAACATACAAGTTGTAAGAACACACACACACACACACACACACACACACACACACACACACATACAGTATATACTGTTTATAGAGGCTGAAGTTACCTTGGTAAAAGACCACAATGTCATTTATAAAGCAAAAACTGACTTTTACCATGGTAACTTCAGCCTAAAATATGTTAGGCAGGTAAGGATAGCTGACCACATTAATCCTCAAATATTAGCGGATTTTATCTTTTAAAAACAACACTTATACAACTAAATATACTTTGTATACATTATTTCATAAATAATGTAAATAAATTATTTTATTGTCTACTAATTACCAAAAATCGCAGTTCTCAAAACTCAATGTATTCCAATTGCTCGCTATTTGAGGTCTACGTGAATCACGTGACGATCGAGCATTTCGAACTTCCATTGTCGCAACTCTCTCTCTCTACGGCTCTGCAAATGACTAGCCCAGAGGACAATTTTTGCTCAGAGTTTGCTCTTTAATAGCTGTTGAGACCCTCAGTTGTGCTTCGTTCTCACGTTTCAATTAAGAAGCATCATCTAAAAAATTGAGAAAAAATATAAACGGAAACAAATAAGCCACTAGTTGTCACAGTAAGAGTACAGAGCTTTAAAATGGCTGCATACATCAGCTCAGATCATTTGACCTAGTGAGAATTTCATGAGGAAAATGCTATAATGATTGCAGCAATTCACATTTTAGTAGAACATCTTTAATGCGCATTTTATTAAATGCAGTACCTCATACATGCATACTAAAAACATATGCATACTGTGTAGTTTTGCATACTGCAGACTGCAGAGAAAGAGCAATTAGTATGCTGGCATTCACTGGCCATAGAAAATTGAATTTGCATTTACATCAATGCATGTAATGTATACAGATACAATAGAAGAAATGTTTGAGATTGCATAGAGATATTTTAATTGCTAATTTTATTTGGTTGTGGTGTTAATTGCAATTGTTTAGATCTCTTCCAAAACTCTAGAAGATACACATTTTAGATTATTGAGGTCTTAAGCCAAAGTCTCCATTTGTCCAAAGTCCTCTCATTGCCTTAACAATAGAGACATACATGTAAAACAAAATATAATTTTAGACTTTTCTTGCATCTACCTACAGATGAACATTAACATTTTCTCCTAACATTAAGATTTTAGTTTAAAATGCATATAAATGCATAATTTAGGTCCTATTAACTAATCAGCATTGCAATCCATTTTTGGCAGTTCACTTAAATCAGAGATGGCCAAATGTCATCCTCTGCCCCAATCCATCTTATATAATCATTCATTTCTAATTTATATCTTTGTTTCATTTTTGTTTCACATTTTTTGCATTGAAATGCATGTTTGTTTTTAATTAAAGAATAAATGTTATTTAAATCTCTATTTAATCATTTAAAATGAAAAAAACTTGAATACGTTTCCTGTTAGCCCACAGCCTTCAATCATGCTCTTTAAATTAAAATGTTTGGGCATCTCTGACTTAATTATATTAATTAATATGAGGCCATATAAAAGCAGTTTAAAATATTTTTAGATGCAGTACAGCATGTGTTTTACGCTTCTTTTGGACTTACATGCTGTTATCATCCACCTGCAGAGTTCAATGTCCTGGGGACTTCCTGCCCTTCAAACGCTAATTATCCTTATTAATTACTGTCAGACTCTTTTATTCCGTTAATTACTACAGTTTGCATGCGTGTGCCTCACTGTCTAGCTCTAATGAGAGCTGAAATGTGCCACAGTTGCAGGTTTATCATTTAACATGCATGTATTCGTGTGTACCTCAAACAGAGCCATGTTCTTGCCGTCATATTGCTGGTTCTTCTCTGGATCGGTGCTGTTGATGAATGGACTGCTCTCCTTGGGGTTACCATCTCCTGTTAGCAAAAAACACAAACAAATCATCAGCATGACAGCAGACGCCACACAACTCCAGGGGGCTTTATGAGGAAAAATCTGCTGTGATGATTCCAGCACTTCACGTTTTAGTTGCACATTTTAGGTCACGCATGCATACTAAAAACAGATGCATACTGTGCCCCGCTGCATATTGCAGAAATTGAATTCACATATATGCATTTGGCTGATGCTTTTATCCAAAGCGACTTGCATTGCATTATAGCTCATGCATTCCCTTGCATTCCCACCGTGCTCTAATGTTTGAGCTGCAAGAAATGGCATTAGTCTACATGGTTCTTCTACTATTACTGGCAAGGATACTAGTAAAGTGGGCAGCGATGCATACAGGTCTCACATGTGGAGTGTTTGTGATGACCTGTATCAGGTGTTCATTCACCTGGGATGTTGGAACAGAGGGCAGATATTTTTAGTGCCTGGATGACAGGGTTTGAGTGGTGATTAGGTCTCTGGACTCCCTCACACCACAGGAGAGGAATTTTAAAGAGGTGCACTGCACACAGGCTGGTTTCAAAGTCTGAAGCCTCGAACCTCTACGGCCTAATGTACAATGTTCATTTGAAGGAATTTTCTGTATTGATTATTCCCATATGCTTTACCTGAAAAGTTACCTGACCGTGTATTTTGGATTACACTTTGAATTGTCGAGTTAAAGGAGTTTAATGGAACTTAATTTGGAAAAGGTACTGGTCATTTTCTGCCTGGACATTATCCTGTGCAACTAATTTTTTATTTTTTTATTTTAATGCTTCTTTATGAAGTTTGACATGCTGAATATGAAAATCACATAACTTTTTGTGTATTATTAACAGTCCTCATGAAAACAAGCTAATGTTATTACTCATGCATAAAATGTATAGGCTAACAACAACAGTTTAACATAAATAGCTACCAAAATGAGTCATCCAAAACTTCAGAAATGCACGTTGGATGATTATTGTTTTTTATGACTGGAATGTTCCAGAAAGCACTAGAATATTACAGAATGTTCTAGAAACTTCTAGAATGTTCCCATCCTTGCAAAAGCAAAAATATAAAAATATATAAATATATAAATAAATAAAACATTTGTACAAAAACGTATCTGTTCTAAACCAGTGTTTCATAATTACTGACAGAAGTTCTAAAATGTACCTGATCTAAATATTTACCAAAATATTGATACTATGTGAACATTTATAGTACAACAATCATTAGCACCACAGAATTACAGAAGAGCTATAAAAAATTAAGTGAAACAAATTTACATTATTTTATGCATTTTGTTACATTATTTTATGCATTTTTCTACAGATAAGTGTACAGTGTATCTGTCTATCATTCTATATTTCTGTTATATTGCTCTATCTGTTTTAAAGGTATTTTAATCAAAGTACAAAAGTATAAAATGTTAATTAAAAGGTTTAAAAGCACAAGTATTTCCATTTACCATCTGTAAACGCTGAAATTACCTCATGCCCTCATGTCTGAATATGGCTACTAATTTTAATGCAAAACCACTTTTAATAAAAATGCTTTTGTTCTTTTTGTTTGTCTATTTAGCTCTATTCACGTTGAACCATAATATGGAACATATTTTGTTTTACAATGAAAGCATATTGTGCAAAAAACACCATAAATCATCTAATTGTGTGTTTTAATATTTAACCTTGGCTTGTTGCGTTTGACACATTAACACCAATGGCGTTTCATGTATTTTTATTTTTTGTTACTATCTTTGTGTCATGTTGTTGTAATTATTTGTGATTGTCAACCCCTAGGTACATATTGTGGGGGAAAAATATACATTCCCTCAGGCCCGCGGCCTTACAGACTGTTATTGTAATGTAAGCACAAGTCCGCGGTACGGTGTGATTTAGCTCAGTGCAGTGTGACAGACTGACAGCTATACTGAAATGCTCCAGAGGCCGAAGCATCAATCAAGCGATGACAGCAGGCAGCCGCTACATCGCAGTCGGAGCGAGGAGATCAGCTGTCAGCTCGCACACTGGGAGATCAGACTGGGACCGGAGGACTAACCTGTAATCAGGACTTTAGTTTTTCTGTGTAGGAGTGTAGAAGTTAGAGGAACTGCCTTTATGAAATATCACTGCCGACTTAATGTCGGATAAAAGGCTTAAATGGAAAATCAGATGCTTCAGTTTAGCATTTTATGATGAGAAAGAGCTGTGCAGAATCATTTGTTTTTGAAAGCCTTATAAAATAAGGCATTACAGACAGAGAGATATATAAAACTATACAACGACAGACAGACACACAGACATACATACATAGATAGAATGATAGATAGATATATAGATAGATAGATAGATAGATAGATAGATAGATAGATAGATAGATACATACATAGATAGATACATACATAGATAGATAGATAGATAGATAGATAGATAGATAGATAGATAGATAGATAGATACATACATACATACACACATACATACATACATAGAGAGATAGATAGATAGATAGATAGACAGATATGTGTTGATGCCATGAAATTTAAAATCAACTTATTTTTCCCTTAAAATGATAAATTTTCTCAGTTTAAACATTTGATATGTTCTCTATGTTGCATTCTGAATTAAAATATTGAAATTTGAAACTTCCACATCATTGCATTCTGTTTTTATTCACAATTTGTACAGTGTCACAACTTTTTTGGAATCGGGTTTGTAGATAGACAGACAGACAGACAGACAAATACACTGAACCTAATATGTTGAAAGTCACCAAAAAAAGGCAGTGCGGTGCGCCTCGCGTTTTCAGACCTACAAAACGCGTTCGGTGTGATCGGGGCCTTACTTAATCAATCAAAACAAAACACATGACATCCTAAAACTAAAAAATGAATGTTAATTTTGAGCCGATGTAACATGTTCCTGCTTCACAGCTGTCGAACGCTTCACATCAGATATGTACCGTACTCAGTCGCACATCTAGTAATTACACAAGAGGGTCGTCATTAGTGGAGGTGATGTCATTGACTTCAGCCGGATGAAGCATGGAGAACTTTCCTCTGAAGAGAAACCCATTCATTACGGAGTGTAACGCCGGTCACAGATCCGAATCCACCACTAACGCATCCGTCCGTTCCAATCACGCACACAAAGTAGCGAGGGAACGTTGTTTTACTGACTGTGATCAATGGGAGCTTCCTAACGTGTGTTACATGAACTTGTGTGTAACAGAAAGGGACATGCTGTCAGCTTTAATATTTCTTTCTTACACACTCTGCTCAGTGACACCGCTGGGCCGTCTGGAAGCAGATGATTAAATCCAGAAAATAATGCTTCGTTTGGTCATGCTTGCTGGCTTTTTCTTTAAAAAAAGAACTGGCACATGGGAGTGTGTTTCTGTGGCAAAGTAATATCAGAGTTCAGCGCCCAGTCCTGTCTGACAGAATGAAGACCCTCTGCTATGATGGAGCAGTCGAACACAGTCAAATCTCTTTCATTGGCTCAAATATTGTGACACATTGTCAGGGATTCATCAGTGTTGGTTACACGGGACAATGTTTCACAGGGGCCTATAAATAGCAACGACTGGCAAAAACTCAAAGCAGTCTGAGTCTCAGACGTCGCACAGAACGCGCACACAAAAATAGCAAGAGCTTTCTCAAAAACCTCAGTCTGATTGGTTGGCTTCATGCAACTTCATAGTGCACAGTTTTTTTTTGCCAATTTCCAGGTCTGAGACACTAAACAATATTTACGCATTTGGCAGACGATGCATTCAAACTGGTGAGTATCTTAGTGTTGACAGCATCTACAGAGAGAGAACGAAAAATTATGGGGAAAGAACTTGCTATTCCACAATTTTTTTCAGAATACCTTTTCTGCATCCCAATTCGCCTACTTATACTATGCCGTAAAAGTATGTACTCTTTTTGTGAATAATGCATAATGATGCATTTAAAAGTTAATGACCAAACATATCATAATAAAAGTTCACAATGTTGCTGCAGATGAAATATAACGCACATAACATTAAATAAATATTTTAAATCAGGTTAGACATTGATTATTTATCACTCAAACCCCTATCTCTGCCTGTCCGTCGGTCTCGCATATCCGCCATGTTTGTAGTTTTTAAACATTTTTTATGCGTGTTTGTAGTTCTAATCGAATCCTTGTCCACTGCGCAATGTGTTGTGGGCAATATTAGTGCGCATCGTTCTGCACTTCGAATTTTAGTCTCAAGTAGTAGACCATCCGGGAATCTTTAGCATACTCTTTTCAACATACTATGATTTGGGACATACTAATTCTATTTTCAAATACTATTTAGGACGGATAATATGCGAATTGGGACGCAGCACTTCTTTTGTGTTCTGCAGAAGAAACTCATACAGGTTTGGTATGACATGAGGGTGAATAAAGTATTAACACTTTTTGGGTGAACTATTAAATGCAGATTTACCTGCCCCTAAATTTTCAAAAAAGAGCATATGCATTAGGTGTTTAATTCAAAATGATCATTCAAATTAATGTTCAATCAATAAATTACTTGATATCATTAATAGCGCAAAAAACATGTGGAGAAATCCATTAAATAAATGCATGTGGAGAAAAATGTAATGCAGCCTAAAATATAAAATAATATGTAATTTCTAAATATAACTGTATAACGATGTCTCATATTAATTATATTATTATATTTTTAAATACATAAAATGTATGAATTAATTTGACATTATATTAATAATTCAAAAATTACACATTTTTAAAATGATTGAAATGAATATTTATATTATTGTATTATTAAATTATTACATTTTAATTTAATATAAATGTAAGATTGTGGTGCAAGCTGCGATTCATGCAATTAAGTAATTGATCATTTTAATACTGCAAAATGCATGTGAAGGATTTCAAATGCATTGTGCATGTAGACTAAAACATAAAAATATAATATATAAATTATATTTAATTAATTCAATTATATTTATTTTAATATATA